ATTACATGTTCTTCCACTAAGTATATGCTCAAGTACTCAACTTCTTCAAATCAAAAGGCTTACCTTGTTTCTCTCTTTTTTTACATTTAATTATTCTGATAGATAGAATTTTGGGGTAAAATTGGATTTAATTTTAGTAACAGACTTACAGGATTACATTCCAAACTTTTTTTTATGACTCTTGACTCGATTAATAAGAATCTAATGGTCGTGTATTTTGTTGTTAAATTTTTTTCATTGATTATAAAACATATTTGAAGTATCCTTTTCTTGATGGGTGCTAACAGGTGCTCTTGAGAGCGCCCAGGGAATACAAATTTTTTGACAAGATTGTAACTAATTTGAGAAAGTATCTAAATGCAAGGAAATAGTAAGTGTGAGTTTGTAAATTAAAATATCCATTAGATTTATCCACAAAAAACAACTCAAGTAATTGTAGAATCTAAACCATTAGACATTTTGGCTCTAGGAAAGTTTTGCCAAATTGGTTAGCATGCAATGAATGTGGAGTGCCTAAAATTACAATTAGAGTGTGGGATTAGACCAAATTTTTGCGCATGCAGTGTTCTATACATTATCAAAAGCTTTGGGCTAGACGCATAATGCATGCTGATTATCAGTGACCACACCACCTATATTTTGTCCGTTAGTTGTGGATCTTGAATGTACATACATATTATTCTTTCCGTCCCATATATTTAGTCATATTTGGGGTCCCATATATTTAGTCATATTTGGGGATACGTGTTTGTTATGCATAGTACACTCCACTAAAATATTTTTCCTTTTGTTTTACTTTTGCCCTTAATCATGTGTTGGTCAAAGTAAAAAAATAGAAAACAATTCCAACATATTTGTTTTTATGCATCATTAATGAAGGATATAAGGAAAATTTCAGAGTATAAAGTAGTTAGAAATATTAAACATGACAAATATTTTGGAACAGCCAAAAAAGAAAAGTATAACACTTTTAATGGGACGAAGAGAGTAAAGAAGACGACATGGCACGTTAACTCCATCAGTTTTTTGATTCTATCAGCAAATACAGAGATTTATATCTTGCAAGCTGATTGTTTTTTTTTTTAATGAGAGGTCTTGAATGGGATTTTCTACTTGTAATCCCTCGCTCTTACCCAAACCCAAACCTCCCCACATCTTGCAAGTTGCTTGTACTAGTAACCTACTTACATGTCGGCATATAAAATCAAAATTCAAAATAAGAATTTTTCATATTATTATTTAATAGTGTTTTAGTCAAGTTAGAGTTTTAGTAATTCTATTAGAGTCAAGTCATCGTAGTTTTATTGTTCAGAAATTAGTATTTTATTAGAAAATTTCCACTTATATGTGTGTAAATTGCCTCCCCCTCATTTTGGTTTTGTCAAATATATCTCCAATATATTTTTAGTTAATTTTTTTGTTCTACATCTGGTAACAGAGCCCTAAGTTCAAGAAATTAATCTTGGGATGCCTATGAATATTGAAAAATTGACCAGCTACGAGGATAGTCATGGCTGTTTTCGTGTTGTGAGACTTATGATCATAAGAGATTGCTGTGAAGAAATTAATTGATTGATTTAGCCCACAAGATTGATCATGAAGTATTCAATTGGTAAAGATTGGACCATAAGATTGGTTCGGAAGAATTGTCAGATTAATTGTGGGTGTAAAGACAGAGATCAAAGAAGAATCCTGTCAATTGAATTGTAATTATGAAAATTACAAAGTGGTGAATTGTCAATGAATTGACATCAAATTGTATGAAAAAAACAATCTATCCAGATGCGTGGATTATTGCAACGAAAAAAGTCTTTGAAAATGAAGAACCAATACAAACTCATGTTGAGTTTGACTTAAAGAAGGCAATGTTGGCATATTAAATCAAGACTCCAAATTAGAAATTTTCATATTATTATTTAGTAGCGTTTTAGTCAAGTTAGAGTTTTAGTAATTCTATTTGAGTCAATTATGATAGTTTTATTATTTAAGAATTAGTAACTTATTAGAAAATGCAAGGGAATAGTAAGTGTGAGTGTGTAAATTAAAATATCCATTAGATTTATCCACAAAATACAACTGAAGTAATTGTAGAATCTAAACCATTAGACGCTTTGGCTCTAGGAAAGTTTTGCCAAATTGGTTAGGACGTAATGAATGTGAAGTGCCTAAAATTACAATTAGAGTGGGTTAGACTAATTTTTTGCGGATGCAGTCTTCTATACATTATCAAAAGCTTTGGTCCGACCAACCAAAAAAAAAAAACCTTTCAAAGTATAATGCGGGTTGATTATCAGGGACCCCACCACTAAAATTTTCTCAGTTAGTTGTGAATCTTGAATATACACACATATTAAAGAAGACAACATGGCACGTTAATTCTATCATTTGATTCTTTGAGCAAATACAGAAATTTATATCTTGCAAATTGATTTTTTTAAGTGGCAATTTTTAATCAAAACTTTCTACTTATAATTCTTCTTTTCTTACCATCCAACCCAACCATCCCCGCATCTTGCAAGTTGATTGTATCAGTAATAATCCGCATTAGTAACCTCCTTAATGTATTTTGTCCACCCAGTTGTGAATCTCGAGGAAATATTATTAACACAACGTGGGAATTGCCACACTTTTGTTATAACCCTGTTCCTGGCGACTTCACATGATTTTCAACATTAGGTTGCCAATTGCTTTACTGCCCACAAGGACAAGGAACTGCCACCGCCTTAGCGCTGCAAATGAGACAAATTGAACCGAATTTTAGTTTGATTAAGCCGAATCTTGATAATTTTATCAAATTCGAACTCAAAATTGAGGTCGACAAACTTTCAATGTAAAACTCGAACTTGAATTTAACCTCAAATTCGAGACTAGTTGAACTCAAACTCGAGCTTATTCGAACGTTAAAAAATTAAAAAATTTATTTATTTATTTATAAATAAATAAAATAATTATTTTTCCTCAATAAATAATAAACATATTAGAGGCATATATATAATGTTACATATTATATATATATATATATATATATATATATATATATATATTTGAGCCAATTCGCGAGCTAACGAGTTGAAAAAGTCAGTTCAAGCTCAACTTAAACTCAATATTGACCGAGCAAACTCGTAAACGCTAATGAGTGACTTGATTTGTTTGCAGACTTCAAAGCCCTTTGATAAGTATACATTTTGTGTGTTTTAATTGTTTTTAATTATTTAATTTAGGTGTGTTTTATTTATTTTTATAGCTAATGAACTATGTTTCTAGTGAAGATTGATATTTTGTGATTTAAGTGTCAAAAATTGCATTTTTATAAAATAAAGTGGTGAAAACCTCATGTTTTTGTAGGGTTTAATAATTCAATCATCAAATGAAGTGAATTGATAAGATATTTGGATGATTTTTTATGATTTAAAGTGATTTAAAAAAGATATAAAGTGCAAAGATAAAATGCAATCAAGTGTAAAAGAAAGGGAGTTTCACAGTTTTAACACCTGTTGATATTTCGACTATGTCTTGAGTTACAAGTATCAGATTGAGGTAATTTTAAACCATTTTGGAGCTAACACATATCTCTACATTTCTTATGAAAACAACGAAATCCATTTCATGAGTTTTCCAAGTCAAAAAGTCGAAATACAGTCGGTTATTTTTGTTGTCAAAAGCTAAAATAGGGGATTGATCAGTCAAGGATATTTTGATTCTTTTTCAGTCTACAGATCTCCAACTTGAATGATTCTTGAGGCATTGAAAAACTAACTCAAAAGGTTACAACTTTCATGTTTTGTATAAGAGTTAGTTCAGCCTCCATTATTGAGAAAATATCAGTGAAAATTGGTACAAAAATAAAGCAAAGTTAAAGGCTGACTAGAAATGAGAAAACCTACAAAAGAGGCAAAATATGGGGTAAATATGCAATCTCAACCCATGCTTTCTGATGTCACGTTTTCCTCAATTGCGGCTGCAACTTGTGCTCTCTTCACGCAAATTTTTTGACTAATTTTTCTTCATAAAATCTGCCTGAATATGAGCAAGCAAGCACAGAGATTTCAAGAAACAACTTTTGCTGATTTCAAGGGACAACTTTGCCAACTAGAAACGGATCACTTTGAACTTGAATTCTCTATAAATAGAGGCCTATAGGGAGCTTGTTTGAAATAACTTTGGAGGGTTAGAAACACTACCAAAATGTAGTTTTAACTAATTTTTCTTAGTTCATTAGTATAGTATAGTTAGCGTAATTTATTTATCTTATAATTATAACTAGATTTGGATGAAGAATTGAGGAACAAAGATGGAGGGTTGGATCTCATACGACAACGGTGACCTCTCTCCTATCACTTTTTTTTTTTTGTATTTGATTTCATGTTTACCTATTATACAAGTTTGATGTTTATTTTCATATTTTGCTAAAGTTTATGCTTAGAGTTATGGATGAACTTTCTATATCTTATTAGTGATATTTACTTAGTTATTTGATAATATTATTTTGAATAAGTTATTTATCACTTTTTGCTTATCTAAATATAATTAACCAGCTATTAATTGTTATAGTATTAAGATGTTAAGTTTGTAATGAGAATGAGATTTAACACTAATTCAAATATATGCTAAACTTAAGAAGTTTACTCACAAAAATAGAAGAACACTTATGTGGATTTAGTGATTTATTTCATTTATTTTATTAAAAAAATAAATTTGTAATTAATTTCATAACCACGAAGGTAGATATAACTTATTTATAAGTATAGTTGATTCATTACGAGAGTAGGTTCACATACATTAGAAAATTACGTCATAATTATTTGATAATTTCACTTGTAAGAGTAGTGAAAAATTCTATAGCCTTAAGAGCTTTCTATTATTATTTGTATTACTTTTATTTCATGTTTATAATATAGATTTAATTTATGCTTGCAAAAAATAAGGTATTTAGATTTTATTAAAATTTGATGCATATTAGAATCTTGTCACTCTTCAAAAAGTCCAATAAAAGAAGGGACTTGGAGAAACCACCAAACCGTATTGCAATAATTTTCTCAATTACATCTATTTCAAGTCCAGAGGACACTGAAGATTTTCGCGAGCTACACTTAAAAGTAGGAGGAATCACAAGACAGCATACACAAGAACATCAGCCATTACTTGGATAAGATAATAGCCTTCTTAGGCTATTCATATGTATTCAACATCCAAGAAAAGCTCTACTAGTATACTAAGTTCAACATCAGCCATTCACATGTATTCAACATCTAAAAAAAGCTCTACTACATCAGCCATTATAGTGTAGCAACCAACAAAAGAGCAGCTTTCCCTCCTCCTTATTTCCGGGCTTGGGACCGGCTCTGGCGATATCACAGAGGCGGAGTTACAAGCATCATACAAACAGCAGAAACAAATAAGCAACTTGCATTGGCAAAGACAATTAAGAAAAAAAAAATGAAGAAAGAGAAGATGTACTCTTGGAGGAAATTACACACTATCAAAAGTTGGTGCAGATGCTGCAAGGAGACTCCAGCACAAGAGAATGCAATCCGTTTCCAAGGGCCTAAAAAAAGAGCATACGCAGAGAAAATTCCATTCCCGCACATATTCATGAATAGACATGCAACAAACCTCACAGAGCAATCTCAACAAATAACATGATGAACCAACATAAAAACAAGATTTATCAATTTCCTGGGTAGCTTTCACTAGAACTGGGAGCAAGGATGTCTGCTAAAATGTATGTTCTGGAAAAAGAAATAACCCACAACTCTAATACACCTGAATGATCTGCTCTCTCATTTAAGATTATAGAAAAATCTTGTCTGCATGCACCTATAGCATATAATCAACGCCTACATAAATGTAATTACCTTATTTAATCTTCTTTATCTGTTTTCCTGCCAATTTGTAACAATCTAACCTGATTGTAAAATTCATCAAGAAAATAAAGAAATAAATGTCTTCCACACACAATTCTACACTCAGATTCATGCCACAACAAAAAGCTGAGGATGCATAACTTAACTCACAAGTAAATGGATACGCTCAGGTGAAAGCTTGAATCAAACTTGGAAGAAACACAAGGCACCTTTAAGTTGCAGCAAAAACAATAGGATTGGAGCCCTACAAGTGTCAGACAAGGCCTCAAAAATATGAAAACATTTTCTATCTCATTTTTATCCCCTTGAAACTGGTGCCTCAGCTTCTTTTATATCAACAGTGGAGAACAGTAGGAAAAGAAGCCCCATTTTCTGACTGCAGGATCATAAGCAGGTTGGAGTAAAAAAAAGTTAAATCACCGGCATACAACAGCAGCACTTTAATCAACTTTGCTAAAGACTTAGCAAACTTCATCAGAAAATAGCCAAAACCTCCAATACATGCTCAATCTGCTATAAATACACCACAGAAATTAAGATAAAAAAGTCCCAGACCTCCAGAATAAGAAAAAATCCAACTCATAAACCATGAAAAAAAATTATTTCCAGATTAAGCTGATGAACAGAAATTAGTATTTGCATCCAATTATTTAGCAACTGCACCACATAATCAGGAATGGATATTATCCATGAAACTCAGCGACTAATGGTACAAACTTCAAAAGCAGATGAAACAGCCAGGGATTTTGTCAAGCACTAACAAACAATTGATTTAGATAGAATAGGATTCCTTCAAACCAATATGGATAGCCTCTAATCTGAAGGAGGCCACAGATGTCACTACAACCGCTCCAACCAATTGAAACTCGTAAAACAACTATGCAAAGGCATAACAGATAGCCTAAGACATACTAATACACAGTCCTTTCAATCACTTTAACCACACAACTGACTTCTTCAATTCCAACCTCCTTCCTAAAATGATGATGAACAGGAGCATTTCAATAGATAACCAGAAACAGTTCATTATTGTTCACAGAAACCCAATATGAAAAATAGGGAAAGGAAATTACTCCTCTGGTTCTCCTTCAAAATCATTTAGACCACAACACAGCCCTTGCAATTCTCATCACATTACAGAACATGGAATTTACAGCCACACCAAATGATTAAGAAAGATTATTCATTAAACCAGTGAAGAAAGAATGAATTTTATAGATAATCCAGAAACTGTCAATCTTCAAACAAAGTAATACATGAAGGGCAGCAAAGAACTCCTTTCAGTTACTTTAGCGACATGACTGAGCTCCTCGAATTCAAGATCCTTCCAAATTAAAGATGACATAGATCTTAGTCAACCTGACATGTCAACTATTTGGTCAAAGAAAACCTCAGGAGAAAAACAGGGAAGGAGAAAACTCCCATTTTCTCTTGCAAAATCATGAACAAGAGAACATAGACTTGCACTTCTCACCCACATTACGGAGAGGTAGATTTTACTGCCACACCAAACAACAGAATGAATTCGACAAATAATCAAGAAGCAATAAAAGGGCTTAGAGTCTCTTCAAGCACAACACCCATCTTGTACCACAGTTCCTACAATAGAAAGGAGACATCAACATCAACAATTTCCAGAAAACCGATAATTGATCAAGCACAGAGATCAACTGGTACGGGGTCCAAGTAAATAGTCTTAGGCTTACAAGAACGAAGCAAAGATCTCGATGAAGAATCGAACCCAAGATCCTAAAACAAATACAAAAAAGTCCTTACGGATAAACCAAAGGGTTTATAACTAACCAAAAACTGCCCACTGTTGCTCAAGAAAGCCTGTACACCAAGTATTTGAAGAGAAGAACTGCTCAAGAATAATGTTGACCACAATTCACGGCTACAGTACTGAACAATCAAATTGACTGCCACACCTTGGTACTTAAAAAAAAACACACACACACACACAAAATCAATCAAAAGCAACTAAAAGATCCTTAAAAGTGTTAAGACACAAGATCAACCTTGAATCCAAGCCCCTACAGCACAGCACAGATGAGAGATGGACATTAAAAACATTCCCAAAACCACCAACTTCAGCAACAATTAGCTCAGGGTAGAAGAAGACTGCTCCAAAACAAGGTATACAGCTTTGATTGCAAGAAGGAAGCCCTTAGGTATCACTACAACAGCCTGGTATTGTCAATAATCCACAAGTATACAAAGTCAAATGGCACAGAACCTGTTGGTTTTCAAACAGTTATACACAGTGATCAGTGTGGAGACACAGAGAACTACATTCAAACACTCTTAAACTGTCACATCCCTTGGATAGCTCTCCTTCACATATTCTCTAAATGCTGATAGTTAAGCCACCAACTCTCATTTTATAGAAATAACATATAAATAGAGTTAACTGATCTCAAATCCTTGAATAACAAATTGTCATCTAAGAGAGAACCATAAAAAATGATTACATACCAAACATTGCGAAACTTGAAATTCCACAGCTGCCTAAAGAGACAACATTCAAGTAATAAAGATAAAGAACCAGAACCACTTCCAAACAATGCCCACTACACGGATGAGTTCTTCAACCTAAGCTCCTAACATGAAGAGGAGGACATACAACCTGAACAACCATTCAGAAGCCAACCCAACCATCACGATGCATATGACGAGAAGCTCTCCGAAATCATGTAAATGCTGGTAACAACAGGACAAAAACAAGCGAATTCACACCCTAATTGAGCAAGACAGCGTAATTGATGATGCCAGTTACCTCCTCAGAGCAAACAGAACTGAGTTTGGGATGAAGGTCAGCTCCTGGAACGAGACCATATAATCAGTACAACTTTGTTAAGTATTGTCAGAACACAAGAAAGAAAATACACAAGTTTTTTTTTTTTTTTAAAGAGTTAGAAAGGCCTTTGGATGCATTAGAAGATACAGGTCTCAATTCCGAGCTCATGACACAAAGGGGGGAACACAGAGACATTTACAGGTGTCAAAACCACTAAGTTGGCTCAAGCACAAAAGCAGAGATAATGTGAACTCCCTTCATTAACAATGCAAAAAGCCTTTGATCTTAGGCAGGAGACATAAAGTTGTCACCAAAGCTCCAAATCATCTAGACCCAGATTCCAGCAACCATAGTCAAGTTAACGAAGTTAAATAGTTCCTTTGAACACAAGTTGTTCAATCCTTCGTACTAACAAGGTAGACAGAGGGCAAATCAATCATCAAATCCAGAAGGTTCCAATCAGTCCTCAGGAAAAACAATTTAAAAATAATAAAAAGTAGGAAAGGGTAAATGTGTATGAAATCTCATGGACCAATATAGCAGGGTAATGACAATGACCAAAACTCCAAGATCCCCTACAATCAGACAACATGTAGAGCCAGTTAATAATGACTCACTGCAAGGCGGCAAATTTTTTAAGCAAAGATTACAACACGGAGGGTATGGGAAAGGAAAAAAAAAAAACTCCAAATTTAGAGCACATTCACATCCAAGAAACATCTCCTCTCCTTGGAAGGCCAGAATTTCCCCATTCTAAAAACAAGGCCAATCTCTAAAGCAACAATAACAATACGGTAATATGATGCCAAAATTGCCTGATACACTGGAATACCAAACAAAGTCATATACGTTGGATAACATCTATAGTTTTTCAATCAATATCATTAAAAAAAAAAAAAACCTCCCAATCATTGTTCAGGAAAGCAGCACAAAACCAAAAGTAGAGGAAGAAAAACTCCCCCAAATTTTTGTAACTAAACCAAAAGCTGTCCCTGCACAGAATTCTGGCTAGAATGTTAAAAATTGAGCAGATTAACTAGCAGACCAGTAGTGCTACCTAGCAAAACACCCTTTATGAATCTTTATGAATCTTTTACTCATTATTTGAACAAATTTGAAATCTTAACTGTATTGCACGCTTAATGAATCCTTTATTATTTTCTTGAACAAATTTGATGCTGTCACTTTCTGCTTTATGTATTTTTATTTTCTGTGACATCTGTCCAGATGCCCCCAGAGACAATGCAGCTAGCAGTCACTCTACCCGTATATCTTCACAGGTTAAATATGGAAAAACCAGATGCATATGTATTGAAAACTGTGCTCAAGTAGCATCTGAATGACCATGGTTATGAATTAAGCATTACCGCATGAAACTCTCAAAAACCTTTACAAACCGTGAAGTGAACGAGGGGATGCAAGCATAAAGAACTACATGGTGTAGAGCAGGTTCAGACATCTGAAGATGAAACAGTTCACGCAAATATTGAGCAACATATAGCCCATATAGCTTCCAGAAAAGGAAGAAAAAAATTAAATGAAATGACCTTTGAATCAGTATCTCCAAATGTTAAGCAAGCAGAAAATTTGAATGTGGAAAAAGAGAACAGTAAAAATTAACCTGAGTAAGAGGAAACCTTCACTTCTTTAACTTTAGAAGCTCTTTTAAATACGCATATCCAGCCAAACAAGCAGGAGGAGAACCACAAATGTGTGCAAAGCAACATGACATGATAGACCACCAACAGAAGTGTAGATTATCAAATACTAACACAACCACCTCTTAGCAGTTCCACAAATATAATAGATGACCACCATTTTGTATAGCTGAACCCACAATTCTGAAGATATGTGGTGCAAAGAAAGAGAAACAGGGCATTAGACGGACCTCAAAAGTTTTGCTCGCAAGATTTGCAAAAAGCCAAAGCAGGTACCCATACCTCCAAACCCAAGGAAAACCCTCCAGAAGACCATTTGAAAATTTTGAAAACCACTGTGAAAGTTGCAGAACAAGAATTGTAGCAAGTACTTGAAAGAGTAGAATTGACAGTTCATCAATCAACCCGGCAATCTACAGGGTCCGACAGTCCAAAGCATTTATTATCAACACTAAGACTGCATATATCAAAGGTGTTAGCAAAGCAAGTAGCATCCAGTCACTGTATTCTCTGCAGCAACAAAAAAAGGACCAGCTGCTGTAAATACACCATAGAAACTAAAATAACTAGTCCTCAACCTCTGAAATCAACTCATAGACCAGGAAAAAACATATATTTATTACTTAAGCTGGTGAACTGCAATTAGTAATTGCATCAGAATGAATAATTATTTCATAACCACACCAAATAACCAGGAATGGGCGTTATTCGTGAAACTATGCCGACCAGTACGAGCTTCAAAAGCAGATAAAACAGCCAGAGATGTTACCAAAAAAGCAATCTTGAACCTGAGCTCCTAGAATACAAACAAGACACAGATGCTACCACATCCCAAAAATCGTCAATTGTCAACCACTGACACAATTAGTTTAGGCAGAATAGAATTCCTTTCAAACCAACGTGGATAGCCTTTAATCTAAAGGAGACCGAAGATGTCACTACAACAGCTCAGACCAATTTAAACTCCTAAAACAAATATGCGAAGGCGTTACAGATAACCCAAAACAAAGTAATACACACACACCTTTCAATCACTTTATAACTGCACACTGACTTTCTTCAATTCCTAAAATGATGATGATGAAGCCTCTCAAAATTTAACCAGAAACTGTCCATTATTGTTCAGAGAAACCTAACAGCAAAAGCAGGGAAAGCAAAAAACTCCGGCTCTCCCGCAAAATCATGTAAACCACAACACAGGACTTGCAATTCTCTCCGCATTACAGCACAGTAGAATTCACTGCCACCCCAAATAATTAAAAATAATTATTGCTCCAATGAAAGAATGAATCCAACAAAAAATCAAAAGCAGATAAAAGAGCCTGGGATGTCACTTGAATGCAAGCTGCTGGAGTAAAGGAAACATATTCGTCAATAACATCCCCAAAACCAATAACTGATCAACCACAAACAAACAATTAGTTTGACCTTCAATGATGTAAATATCCTTTGACAAAAGAAAGCCTAAGATCTAAATGACAACAGCATGGTTGAAACCCAAGATCCTAAGATGTAGATATATAGTTGTTACAGATAATCCCAGAACTGTCAATCTTCAAACAAAGTAATACACGAGGAAGCAGAGAACTCCTTTCAATTATTTTAATGACATCACTGAGCTCACCAAATCCAAGCTCCTTCCAAAATGAAGATGACATGTTATCCACTATTTCATCAAGAAAAGCTCAGAAGGAAAGTAGGGACAAAGAGACTCCCATTTTCTCTCACAACATCATGCAGATGGATAAATTGTAATGCTGCGCCAAACAGCAGAATGAATTCGCCAAATTATCAAGAAGCAGATAAAAGAGCCTAGGAAATCTTCAAGCACAACACCCATCTTGCACCCCAGTTCCAACAATAGAGAGGAGACATCAACATCAATAGAAAACTGAAAATTGATCATGCACAGAGGATCAATTAGTCAGAGGCAGAAAAGAGTTCCTCCAAAACAATGTAAATGGTGTTAGGCTCAGAAGAAGAAAGCAAAGATCTCGATGAAAACAGGGAGACACAAACCCAAGATCGTACACAACAAACACAGAAAGTCCTTACAGATGATTCCAAAAAAAAAATGTAATGCTCCAAAGAAGCAGAGAACGCCATTCAATCACTTTAACCCAGTGAGTTCTTTAATTCCAAGCTTCTTCCTAAAATGAAGATAGACAAACAGACTTGGAAGTAATAAGCATAAGGGTGTTGATAGCTCTTTTCAGACATTTTAGCCACACAAACTTCTTCATCAAATTAGAGGACAGAATGGGTTTATGACTAACCAAAAGCTGTCCACTGTTGGTTAAGAAAACCAGTCACACCAAGTATCAAAGAGAAGAACTGCTCAACTTTTTGGCTCAAGAATCATGTTGAAGATAATTCACAGCTACAGTACTAAACGATCAATCTTGAATCCAAGCCACTATAGTACAGATGAGAGATGGACATTAAAAATATTCCCAAAACCACCAAGTTCAAAAACAACTAGGTGCAATTAGCTCAAGGTAGAAGAGGACTCCTCCAAGACAAGGAAGATAAGCTTTGATTGGAAGAAGGAAGCCCCGAGATACCACAACAACAGCTCAAAATCACCAAAAATCCATGAGTATACAAAGTCAAATGACCCGCAAACTGTTGGCTTTCAAATATAGATTGTTATAAACAGTAATCAGCATAGAAATGTTGAAAAATACTTTCAAACACTTTAAACTGTCACATCCCTTGGATAGGACAGCTCTCCTTCACGTACTCTTTAAATGCTGATAGTTGTGCCCCCAACTCATTTTGTAGAGATAACATATCAATAAAGTTAACTGATGTCAAAATCTTCCAATAATAAATTGTCATGTATGAGAAAAACATAATGACAACAAACCCAGTATTGCAAAACTTGAAATTCCACATCCGCCTAAAGAGACGACCTTCAAGTATGCAGGTGGAGAAACAGAACTCCTTCCAAAAAACGCCTACTACACAGCTGAGGACATATAACCCGAACAACCATTTAGAAGCTGCCAAAAGAAGCCCTAACCATCACGCATATGACGAGAAAATCTCCAAAATCATGTAATGCACAATGATGAAAACAATCAAATTCACACTTCCTATTTGAACAACACAGCATAATTGATGATGCCAGTTACCTCTTAGAGCAACCACAACTAAAAAGGTTGGGATGAAGGGGAACCCCCTGGAACAAGACCAATAATCAGTACAACTTTAAACAAAGTGTCAGCAAAAAAAAAAGAAATACATGAGCAAAAAAAGTTACTTAAAAATATGAAGAGGAAATGCCTTTGGATGCATTAGAAGATACAGGTCTCAATTCCAAGATCCTAACATTAAGGGGGGGGACATGAGATATTTACAGGTGTCAAAACCACTAAGTTGGCTCAAGCAAAAAGGAAAAAATAGTGCGAACTCCCTTTGTTAACAATGCAAAAAGCCTTTGATTTCGGACAAGAGACGTAAGTTGTCATCAAACCTCCGAGTCATCTGTACCCAGATTCCAGCAACCAAAGTCATGTCAAGGAAGTTAAATAGTTCCTTTGAAACAGACAACTTGAGTTGTTCAATCCTTCAATCCTAACGAGGTAGATGCAGAGCAAATCAATCACCATATCCAGAAGGTCCCCATCAGTCCTAAGGAAAAACAGCTTTAAAAAAAAAAAAAATTTTAAAAAAAGTAGGAAAAGAGCAAACTTTTATGAAATCTCGTAAACCAATATAGCAGGGTAACTACAATGACCAAAACTCCAAGCTCCCCTACGATCAAGACAACATGGAGAGCCAGATAATAATAACTCCCTAAAAGGTGGTAAATTTCCCGATTTTAGAGCACCAGTCAAAACATCTCCTCTCCTCGTAAGGCCAGAATTCCACCGTTCTAAAAGGAAGGCCAATCTCTAAGCAACAACAACAATACGGTAATGTGATGCCAAATTGTCAGATAAACTGGAATACCAAACAAAGTCATGTATGTTGGATAACTCCTATGGTTTTTCAATCATTATTATCCAAAAAAAAAACTCCCAATCGTTGTTCGGGAAAATAGCACAAAGCCACAAGTAGGGAAAGAAAAACTCCCCCAAAATTTTGTAAAACAGGAGAACAGGATAATAATCACGACCAAACCTTTGAATCCAAGCTCCCCTAAGATCAAGACAACACCTAGAGCTCGTCAGCAGTGACCGCATAAAATAAAGGCGGTGACTTTATCAAGCAAAGATAAGAACAACCCAAGACCAAGAGGGGATTAGAGAAGAACTCCCAAATTTCAGACCACATTCAAATCCATCCAACAGAGCGCTTCTCTCCTCCATTCTGCCAATTCTACAACAAGGTGAATTTCGAAACATTAACAAGAAGGAAAACCGACACCAAAATTGTCCGATAAATTGGAACGATGGACAAATTATCATCATATCAACAAACCAAACTATTGCAAAAAAACTCGAACTATCTGATGATCGCGAAAACGCCGAATACCAGAGCTACCACCTAAAGCAATCATGAATAAATCAGAGCCTACCGTCGATTGACAATTCCAATTTAACTAATTTCACAGCCCTAAACCGATGCAGAAAACCGAGTTAGACGATTCTTACCTAACAACCAAACCGCCGAGGGTTAACAAAAGCCCGTGGGATGGTTGGGGATATTTATAGGTGTTTGTTGAAGAATGGACGGTTAGGATTAAGCGGTTGTTGATGATCTGGACGGCTATGAGGAGGTCTTTTTCCAAGTTGAATTTGGGCTTTGATTCGATGTACGCGTAATTTCCTGTGACCAGGTCTGTTTTATTTTTTTATTTTTGGGTAGGAAAAGGCGGTTGTTAAATTTAGAAAATTGCCACCGAGCTGGACAAATTCTGCTTTTGTTTCTTTTTTAGAAGAAAAAAACCCCTCAAAAAAAAAAAAAAGAATATATGGCATGGTCAAAGCTGGTATGCTTCACTTTTTTTTTTTTGGTTCTTTCCTGGATAGAACCTTCACGAAGACGTCCTCACGAATATAAGTGTTTTTTTCTCCCCTTTTCTCTCTAGAGGCTTCCTTAGTTTTTTCAAAATAGTTATGGGGATTCGCTTGACACTTGGACATTTTTGCAGCAATATAAGTAAGCTAACCTCTTGTTCTCAAGTGTCCCTTTTTCTTGTTTGTTCTCGATGTCAGGTTTGGCCCCTCAAAATTTTTGTATTTCATTTTGGAGAGAGATAGATTGACTGTTTCGAAAGGTTCCAAATTTGAATTCTCTCACATATATTAAATTTTTTTTAAAAAAAATTTATAATTTATTTATTGTTTTAATAATATAACGGACTAGCATTCTGACTCCGTGTATGAAATTTGCCTCTAAAAAAAATGGTACTTCTTTTTATTGTTTTTGTTCTCAAAATTTTTTCTATTTTATTTTCCTTTTAATTATCCCTTGATTGAGCACTCAATACATAAAGTAGACTTGGACTCTTCAACATTATGAATCATGAAAATATTGGTTTAGTTAGCTTTTCTTCAAACCAACTGTTTTTCTTTTTTCTCTTTTTAATTTTTTGTGTGTTCTTATGATTATAAACAGCAATGTAATTGCAAGTATTAGCCTTCAAATAATGGCCTTGTTCTACGCTAATTATCATTATGTAAAAGATGATCAAATGCTTCAGAGATTCAGCTTTCTTATTCATAAAATCAGATATGAAAAACAGTTGTAAACACGATAAAGTAGTTTTTTTTAAATCAAAATCTAAAAATCGGGTGTTAAAAATCAATTGAAAACAAAATCAGTATATTTGGACAGCAAACAGCGGTAAATTTTGAGACTAATTATTTTTTTTAACAACCTGCATATGGACTACGGTGGCAAAGTCGAGGCCCAACCAGAGCACTTTTGTATGTATTCGAAAATCAAAGCCTTGGGCAGTGAAAAAAAAAAAAAAAGTAGAATGCTGTATTTCCACAATTGGATCTAATCTTCGAATGAACCTCATGATCATAAGAAGGGTTTTTAAGTTATGGGCCTAGCAAAAGAAAAATTGAGACAGGAATGCGATCTCCCCACTTCAAAATCCAACGTGAAAATTCTCTTTTATCCGATTCAAGTATGTACACCAAATAAAGAAAATAAAGAAAGGAGTTCATTCTGATAAAAAAAAAAGTCACGCTCTTCCTTATGGGAAGGAAGGATTAGGAAAATCCTATTAATTGAAACTTTCTCCGGGCCCTTCGAAAAGACACGAAAAAGAACAACTTGACGTTTACCTTGAGCTAGAGCATGGAGCTAAGTCTTCCTTTTTTTTTTGGACTTTATAAAAGGAAGGAGAAAGAAAATTATTTATGAATTGAATGAGAGATCTCAAAATTCCTAATTACTTAGTTTTTTTTTCACAAAAAAGATCAATATTGATTTCTCGCTTATTTTCATGATGATTCGAACCTTTAACCACTCGTACCTATAGTTGAGTTACACTTATGGGACGAGCATGGAGATTCCTTCCTCTAAGCTCGTATTTCGGCCCACAAGTGGCCTTCTCATATTATATATTAGGCTTTGATATCACAACTTAAAGAATGAGATCATGGGCACTTTCCAAAAGTACTAGTAAGTTACAAGTGCATGCGAAGCCAATTCGTATATATATATATATATATGTGTGTGTACAAAGTTCCCCATAGGACTAAGGAAATTGTGATTAGGATTTATATATTGTGAAAGTTGATCCAATCCCATGGCCAAAGATGTGTGAGAATAAGATTTTTCAACGGAAAATGGACCTAGATTCATATATGATGCAATTTGATTGATGTACCTCTTGACTAAAGACATGTGAGATTAGTTAAGTATTTCTAGGAAAGGAAAAACTGTGCATACTCATTTATTTCCTTACTAAATACAGGCAAAGTCATAAAGGAAAAACAAAAGTACCCTTACAAACTTTATTGTTTGCCTTGCACATTTATTTCCTTACTAAATACAGGCAAAGTCATAAAGGAAAAACAGAAGTACCCCTTACATACTTTACAGTTTGCCTTTGTTGCCAGTAACTCTGATCTCTGCCTTCAGAAGAAATTGTTGATTGCTCTATAAATTTAAATCCTTCACGGAAAGAAGCATTTAAGAGCATAAAAATAAACAATGGGAAAAAATCACAACTTCCTTAAAGGAGAACTATGCCACGTGTTCAAAAATTAGGGTGATATAGTAAACTTCCATATCTTCTTATATAATAGAGATAATAGAGATAAAAAAACCCATTGGATTCAGAAAGGACAACATAAGGGCCACTTGTTGATTTGGCATGGACAAAGGGACAAAAAAAAAGTTATGCAAGGGATAATAAATATTCCACTTGTCAACCTATTAAGAAGCCAAGTGGCAAGAAAGGAAGCAAAGAACTAAACCCCTTGCTTCTTATACTAGTAAGGCCGCATGGCAAATGCCCACACTAAAGTGTTTAAGAATAACAAAATTTGAAAGATGGTTTATGAGTTGAGTGTTATGTGTAGATATATTATAAAGAGCATCTTAATGCATTGTTGGTTATTAAAGGGAAAAAATTCGTTCTAATAAAAAGCAAGTATTAACGCATAAATAAAATAAAATAAATTTGAAAGGAAAAGTGTATATTATGTTTGGTGGTAATTCCAGCTAGTTTATACAGGTTTAACTGGTGCTAAATAAATAAGTGAAATGACTAATCTGGAGTAAAGTGACAAGCTAAGCAAAAATTTTGAGTACTGAAAGTAATGCTGCAAAAGGAAAACACAAAACATGCAAAAAAAAGTATATGTTACTATAGATGCATAGATTTGTTGAAGTAAAAAGTAAGAAAAATTGTATTACCAAATGTGAGAAAACAAGAAAGTGAAGGAAGCTTTCACTCTACTACATGGGAATGGGAAGGAAATAAAACAAGAAAAAAATGAAGCATAACAAAGGTTGGTAGTGTGTGTAAGGTCGTGTACTATACTATTTAAGGGCAGTTTGTTGATAATAATTTCATCTGAAAAGGTAGTCTATGAAAACTAAACTAAACTAGTGCTTTGTCTTTCAATCTAATAGTTATACACATATGAAATACAGTTGATAATTCATCAAAAAATTGATTTTCTTGTGAAGAACAACCTAACTATGAAGAAAAATGTAAGTATCTAATATGGTTAGATAATTGAGAAAAAAGATGAGTAGTTGAAGAATGATTGCATTATTTAACTTATGGCTTATTATAAGTAAAGCAGAGGAAAAATAGGAGAACCAAGCAATCTGTAAGCTGACTTGTTGAATAATCTAATAATGCAATAAGTTTGGAAAAATGTTTTTCTCTCCAAATTAGAACTCATAATATATAAGCTGTATTGAATAATTTATAATTTGACAATGTAGAAAATAAGAAAAAAATGCAAATCTAACGGTTACCATGAAAACAACAACAAAGAGCATTTGAATGAAATATAATAGAGATACACTTATTTTTGTCATTCAGACGTTAATGCATTCGTTTGATTAAGAAAAGAAAAAATTAATTGCAATAAAAAACACTTATTAAGGTATAAATGAATTAAAATAGAATTGATAACAAAAATATATGAACATAAAGTCAAATGTTACCAAATATTTTAATATCAACAAATTAAAATAAATTCAAAACATAAAAATGCACACTACATTAAGTAGCAGTAATAATCTTTTTCTTTATAATAAGATGAAATTAGTTTTAAATAATCTTTTTCGTTACATTAACAAAATAATAAAATGTCAAAGACTATAAGAAAATGTCAAAATAACAATTTGAAAAAATCCATGCAATTTGACGATTTTTAACAAATGCAGCTTAATTTGTCAAATATAATTTATAATTCATATTGAAATAAATATAAATATAAATTCAAAGAATAATTATGATAATAACATTGTAATCTGATTAAAACTTAAGTTAAATTGTCAAATATAAGTTGAAATAATCATGTAAATGATACTCTAATTGAATTATATCTCTTCAAACTTTAGAGTTTGAAAAGTGTTTTTTTTCCTTTTCTCGAGAAGCTTCATTAGTTTTTATCAAAAGATTGGCTTGCCACTTGGACATTTTTGCAAGGTTATAATTTTGCTAACCTCTCGTTCTCAAGTGTACCTTTTTCTTGTTTTTTCTCGAGGTAAAGTTTGGCCCCCTCGAAATTTTTGTATTTCATTTTGGGAAGGAATGGATTGAGTGGTTGGAAAGGTAGAGATGGAAGTGTAAGTGAGAAATCCCGAATTTAAATATTCTCTATTACACTAAATTTTTTTTTAAAAAAATTAAATTTTTGTAATTCATTTATTGTTTTAATAAAATAACGGGCTAACATTGCGACCCCGTGTACGGAATTTGTCTCTGGAAAAAAAGTGGTACTTCTTTTTATTTTTTTTCTCAAAATTTTTTTCTATTTTATTTTTCTTCTAATTATCCCTTGATTAAACACTCAATAGATAAGTAGACTTGGCCTTCAAGATTATGAATCATGAAAATTTTGGGTTTAGTTAGCTTTTTTCTTCGCACCAACTTGTTTTTCTTTGTTCTCTTTTTATTTTTTTTGTGTCTTCTTATGATTATAAACAGCAGTGTAATTGC